AATACCCAAGGGACCACTTAAACAATCAAAGTAATCTCTTTGTACTGTTCTGGTTCAGTGATAGTATCTAAATAGTGCCTATTAGTTACTTAGTATTTAGTTTCTATTTCATGGTTCAAGTGACTCTGCTCTATCATCTTAAATCAGTTATAATGAAGACTTGCTGCCTGCCTTGTGCAGGCGTCCATTGTGGCTCTAAACAAAGCGAAAGAAAATGGGGGAGGGAATGTATCCCTATTTTCCAAAACCCCTCATTCTTCACTCTAAAAACCGGGAAATTTAACGACTGGCTCTTTGTTCAGTGACTCACAGCAACAGTTCACTGGATCTGTATTTCCATAGTACTTGTGATAGATCTCTCGCCTRGTTCGCTGTATCTGCTCCTGCGTCATACCCTCTGTTTGGGTAGGGCCAATAACCATGCGGTTCCATATCCAACCCAAGGCATACTGGCAGTACTTTGGTGTATTAGCACCATATCGTCTGAAAACATCCTTGATATAAAGATGAAGAAATTCGTCAAGTTTGTTACTTTCCATAGCGTTGACAATCATCTTCCTCGATGCACMAATCGAACTGATTGCGAAGCGGCTGTCTCGGCTGTCTTTGCAAATCATCTGCCAAAGGCCAAGCAAAATATGTTCAGCGGAGCATGGTAAAGAGGAGGCTCCCCACAACACATCCGCATGATAACGAAGTACGTTGTCAAATCCGTATTCGATTGCAACTTTCGAGCCAGAATTTGGGAAAAAATCCTCGCGACACAACTTGAAAAGTGCATGAATTGAGTGGTCTGATTTAACACAGTTTTGCTTATGCATGGCCCAGTGTCTCGTTTGACAATCTTTTGAGCAGTAGTCTGCTTGTCGACACTTTCCACAATGCATGATACTGGAAACCTCTTTGTCACAGAACGTACAACTGCTCGGCATGTTTGAAGATTGAATAATGCTAAAACACTAACCAATATATACAGCAAGGCAGTTGATTTTAAAGCGAGTSACGTCCTGAAGGTTCGTGGAATCAGGAGTCGTAAGGATCGATTACGTCACGGTATAAACAAACGTCCAAAAGACTGGGGAGGGAGACCAGACCAGAGGGAGACTATTATTCATCGGTGAGCGCGACGATCAGTCCGGTTTTCCTWTAACATATTTAGCACAAAAAAATGACTTCAGATGCCATCGAAAAGAGCAACAAACATAATGAAAGAGCCAAATATTGTCTGTATTTTCTCGGCTTCTTGGTAAGTAATGGCAAAAGAACAAATAYCATAGATGTCAGACTGAGTTAAACTCGAAATGAACGCCGAGCGAAAATTTCCGAACTTGTTCGACTTGTATTTTTTATTTCTTGACATTGTATTTTACAAAATATAATGTTTCTGTTTTCAGGACCTATGTGTTGTTAGTATGGGATTACCATTAGTTACAAGAAAGGCTAGAGAACTTGGAGCTACGCCGTCTACGGTTGGTTTGATCGGTAAGCTCCAGTATTTAAAACACTTGCCGCGTCCAATTAAAACAAGTTAATACAAATCAAGTTGTCACACGTAGTTTTAGCGATGAACATGTTTAGAACTATGATATGAACTATAAACTATGATATTATTACGATAAGAYAAACCATTATAATTATTCAGCCATTTACAATGACATTTACTTTGCTTATCTTTTTACAACCTTGGCCTCGTGAGGTCTTGGTGGAGTGAAAGCTCCATTCAATTCTGTTGGTATCTTACTAGTAGCCCAACCGCATGATCCATTACTGTGAAACATAGATAATATAGATAAATAATGATTATCTTTAGACTCGTCCAATCGGTTTATATAACACATAAATCTAAAATAAAGAAATATTAATTAAAAAATGTTCATCCGTCCATAGCTTCCATATATGGTGCCATACAGCTGTTCTCAAGTCCTATTGTGGTAAGTTATCTGAGGGAGAGGTCAGGGGGGAAAGGTCAGGGGGGGAGGTCAGGGGAGGAGGAGGTGGAGGCAGCCAGGGAGTGTCCACGGTTGGACCAATTTCATATATCATTATATTCTTAACTTTATTTTAATTTGTATTTTATATTAATATTATTTTCAAATCTTAAATTTCCAGGGTAAATGTAGCGACGTGACAGGAAGGAAGAAGGTCCTCATCATCTCACTAGTGTGTACAGGTTTTGCTTACTTCTTAGTTGGCCAGTCACAGAGCCTSTTATTCCTGGCAATGACTCGAGTACCAGTTGGAATATTCAAGCAGACTCAGGGTCTTTGCAAAGTATCCCTTGCCGACATCACTCCAACCATAGAACGCCCTAAAGTGTTTGGGTACTTCAACTCYCTGGCAAGCGCTGGGTTCATTATTGGTCCTCTGATAGGCGGCCATATTGGAATGATGGATAGTGGTTTTACAACAGTAATGACACTGCAGTGTATTGGGTTTGTTTCAATGGCAGTGTTTGCCTGGTTTTTCCTCAATGTTCCTGACAACACTGACATSACTCGGCRAGAAGTGAGTCTAAAACGAAATATTTCTGATGAAAACATTGGCAATGGAATTGACARTGACATTAAATACTCCACCACTAATGGCATGATTAAAGAGCAACAAGAAAGTTCCATCAAAAAYAGATTCCTTACCAAACTTGGAAARTCTCTCAGCATTGCATCCCTGGATTCAATAGTTGATCTTCTACTATTAAGATTYATACTCGGTTTTGCTATGATCATATTTCGGAGCAACTTTACAACAATGTTAGAATTCCGTTACCAYACATCAACCAAGACCAATGGATACATAATGTCATTCAATGGCTTGGTATCCGGTTTCTCTGGAACTCTAGTAGGATACATTGCAGCTTTTTACAATCACAATGATGCTAAAATAGTCCGTCACTTTTCAATCTTAATAACATGTGTTCTCCTTYTCATCACCTATTCTCCAGACCTTTTAGTTTTGATAGCTCTGTTAACACCCTTATCATTATCAACTTCTGTCTGYCGAGTTTGTGTTAGTAATTTGACCCTAAAACGGTGTCAACAAAATGAGAAAGGAGTRATTTTTGGTGTTGGGAATTCAATGTTGTCATTTGCAAGAATGTTGTCTCCATTGATAGCAGGRTTTGCTCAGGAATACAGTGTTTATGGCCCTGGCACTATATCAGTCGGTATAGCCAGTTTAGGTGTTATTATTGCTAGTTTTGTTGACAATAATTAGATTATTAGCAGTATTAATTGCAA